ACATAAGGCTCTAGACCCAAAAACTTCAAAAGACATGGAGCTTACCGATCAAGCTGAACTCGGGCAATACTTATTGAAGAGGCCTACCCGTCTGTCTATCTGACCTGCATGCATGAAATGCAACGCCCCTAAAAAAGGGATGTCAGTACGAAATAATGTACTGAGTATGTAAGGCAATATACTGAAAGCTAAAACTGAACTAATAATATAATAACTGCAAGTAGCTGGAAGTCAAAGATAATCTGAAGGTATGCTTACCTGCTGATACTGACTCAACTCCCTCAATATAGTAAGTAAAATAGATTTCCGACCCTATAAGGCTCGGTATATATATAACTGCTCTGCTATAGTAGGCTCGCTCAGAGGCGCTCGGCCATACTAGGCTCTGTATATCAACCAACTGGGCTCGCTCATAAGCGCTCGGCCACAGTAGGCTCGGTATATATGTAACTGCTCTGCCGTAGTAGACTCGCTCATAGGCGCTCGGCCATACTAGGCTCCGTATCTCGACCAACTGGTCTCGCTTATAAGCGCTCAGCCACAGTAGGCTCGGTATATATAACTTACCATCTGATCAGAGGTTGCCCAATAGGGGCCTGCCTATCGATTATAGCTCGATGGTAATGAAAATACTTTTAATACTGTATATATATAAATTCTCTGCTCTCTTGACTGGAAGAAGAAAATACTCAACTGAATATGAAGTCCCGATAAGAAAAATATTATAACTTAAAAACTAGAAAAATATACGCAATTTGCGAGACTAGCAAAATATACGTAAATTCCGGTATATGAATTTTTCTTTATTGCTTATTAACAGAATCGTGTAATGACAAGATCATGCAAAATGAAATAAGGGCTTAGCCTTAACATACCTGGAGTAGGAAAAACTCCATATAATATTTCGTTGGAAAACCTTTGTTGATTGAACGAAATTTGCCTCTGTTCCTTAGAAATTCATGGATGAAAATTATTTTCTGGTTCTAAAAATTTTGGAACGAAATCACACTTTTGGTTTCCTTGAAACTGAGAGGAAAACGTTTGAATTCCTTAAGAATTTGAAGGATTAACGTTGAAGTTTGGAAGAATTGATTTGATTTGAAATGAAGCTTGGACGAATTGTTCTGAAATTGGAATGAAGCTTGGACGTTCTTGAACAGTGAGGTTTATTTCCTCAACCCTTCCAACTAAGACATTAAATGATTTGGATAAGATTCTTACAAGTCATTACAGGACCTAAACCTTTAAATCACTTTAGACACCTATACCAATATGTAACGAGTCATATTTTTCGATTAGTGGCCTTGTGCCTCGTGGGTGGGGTGGTTAATTTATTAGATTTTTATCTATTTCTTAGTTAATTAGGTAATGTTCTGTTACCCGGTAATAAATTAATTACCCGTATAATTAAGAATTATTCCCACTTATTTAAAATATTACTCACTTTTCACATACCTTATACGCCTTACTAGCATGGTTATGTAGTATCTTATATGACACTAGTCCATAAATACTAGGTATTTTAGTTCGGATCGTATTTTACCCCAAAATGCCAAACTTCGACAAAATTCATTTTCTTCGATATTACTTACCCTTTTACCTTCATGAATTTACTCATCACTTATAATCCTTATAATCTCCAAATAATCTTTTCCTTGGACCGATGTCAATTACCTTACGACAAATTCAACGTACAATACTGCAGGGTGCAACATCGGCGTAACTTATTACTGCGAAGCGTAACATCACCGTAATGTAATACTGCAGGGTGCAATATTGTCGTAACTGAATATTGCGAAGCTAGATATCACCGTAATATAATACTGCAAGGCATAACATCATCGTAATATATTACTGTAGGACGTAACATCATCGTAATATATTATTATTGCAGAGGATAACATCATCGTAATATATTACTACAGAGGGTAATATCATTGTAATAATGCGGGGCGTAATAAGTATGTCCACCTCCTCAAAATAGCATTTTTACATGTATTTATACCAAGTAGGGTCGGGCTCAGACGAAAATACCTTCTCCCGCGCGAAATAAGACAATCACTCTGTAAAATTTGTACTACCGCGCTACATGGGGCGACGCGCCATGCGGGCGATAGTGGGGAAGTTTAGATCGCTGATTCTGACAGGCTGCAGGAAATTTTTACAGGCGCGGCGCGCCGCGTGCCACTCTACGTGTTGCGTTATTGGAACTTCACGAAAATGCAAAACATGAAAGTTGTTGCCCTTTCAAATAGTTTTCCAACGATATATTGTGAAGCCCAAACGGAGTTCTTAGCGAAAAGTTATGTGCATTTTACTAGACAATGTACTGTATGCCCGCTCGATTTTTCGTTTCGTTCTTAACTATCATCCGTTGATCCCCGAACACAATCCCGGCTTAATTTTTTCGGCTTTTACTCATACTTCAAAGCTCCAAATCACTTGAATTCATTACATAATACCTACATAGCTCGGAATCACTCCTACAAGGCATAAAATACACAATTAGTGCAAAACACTAGCGACTAAAGCTCAAACTCAATTAAAGTACAGTACATTAGAGTGCAATAAGCGACTAAAATACGCAATTATAGCCTATTATCAATTTGGTTCGGATTTTCGGTTATGAACACCCCTACATGGCACAATATAAAAATTACTAAATTATCTTTTAATTTCTCATTTTCCAACTTCACAAAAGTTTTTGACATTCCAGATTTTTGATTGGAACTTACAAAATTTATTAAAATTATGTGTTCAATAAACATTATTACGATTTTTTTTATTATAGAATAAAAAGAACATGAATATTTGTGCAAGGTTATTTTAAAAAGGTGGCGTTTCTCTCTGTGTAGTGGTGTACATTCAATTGTACTATAGAGGATGGGAGAGAATGGGGACAGGGCTCGCTCGTACTCGCTAGCTGCGTATGTGGAAATGCCCCTCCAGAGTTGTTGGAATTTTTATAGCATATTTGGCCGAACCTCTAAAATAAACTTATTTTGAAAAGTATTTTTTTTCAGAAGTGCTTCCTAAAAAAATATTTTTTGTCAGAATTAACTTGTATTTGACTAACTAATTTTAAAAATACTTTTAAGTGTTTGATTGAACTTTTAAAAAGTGTTTCTAAGAATATTTTTCTCAAATATGCTTTTCAAAAAGTACTTTTAGAAAGAAACTAGTATATTTTTTTATGCTTCTCAAAACTATTTTGTTTCTATTCAAAAGTGCTTTTTCCTTTCCAAAATTTAACTAAACACCTTAACTTTGAAAAAAAAATATTTTTGACCAAAAAGAAACTAGACCAAACAAACTACTCCTTCCGTTTCAATTTATGTGAACCTATTTCTTTTTTGGTCCGTGCCAAAAAGAATGACCCCTTTCTTTATTTAGAGACAATTTACCTTTATGAAATGATTTATAGTCACACAAAATATACGTGCCTCATTTTACACCACAAGTTCAAAAGTCTTTTCTCTTTTCTTAAACTCCGTACCCAGTCAAATGAGTTCACATAAATTGAAACGGAGTGAGTATTAGAATCGATGAATTGTAGTTGGGAGACCAAGACCAGGTCTGTCTTTTCAAGTTGGTACTATTACCTTTGCTGAATTGCTCACTCTCTCTTTATTCAAATGTTAAATAGTCAAGCAATCTCCAGTGACATAAAGGGAGCTTTTGTTTTTTGATTTTCAGTTTTCACTTTAATTCTTTATTATATGCACTGTGATAAAAAGAAGGAATTGACCATAAGTAGAAGTCGCCCACAAAAAAAGACAAGAGAGGTCTCATGAGAATGATTGCAAATACAGCTTTCTTGGAAATTAATTAGTACTATAAATTTTGCCTCGTGGAATATCTCGACTAGTTTATTTGCAAAAGAAATCCTAAGCACATTCATAATTAAACCTTCTTAATAAAATGGTAATTGAGAACTATCAGCGTCAACATTGATTATGTATGATTGTGGTAAAATAGATAGGATCCTCTGTCCTTAATAAATGTTTTGAATTCAAATTTTATGGTAAAATAAAATCTTGATAGAAAGCATTTTCCTCCTTAATGGACTTTATCCGGCTCGAATTAGGATTAATTTTCTTTTCTTTCTTGAATAATTAACTCAAATAGCCGTTCACCTAATCTCTTAAATTAAAAATAGCCAACATATGTATAATTTATATATAACTGTATATAATCTAATAACGGCTTGAAAAAATGAACATTGAATCTCGCCGGCTATTTGTATAACAACTTCTTTCTTTACCCTACCTCTTTCTTTTTTCCTGCTATCTACATCCCTTTTTCCTAATTCTTTCCTCTTTTTTTTTTCAAAGATAAGATAACCTTTCTCATGTTTCCATCATAACTTTTTAATGCAAGAACCTGAGAAGCTCAAGTTGTGTGTGTGGGTGTTCATGTATTGGATTTAAATTATGTAGTAGACAAGAAGTTTTATTAGTGCAAATTTAACTAATTAATAAAAAAATAATTATTCCCATTTAATTTGTTAACTGATCACGTTTATCATTGATGATATTCATAAAATTAATTTAATTGTAATTTAGTACAAATTATATATGCTTTTAACGGAGATCAATTGCTTATCCTCATTTTTATTCTTTTGTTAGATTAATTTCATATACTAGCTAGTATTCCTAGTCGCACTTTCTTTTGCATATTAATTATTATATAAATATAATATTAACTCCTAGTGGCATTTTCTTATGCATATTAATTATATACTACAATATTTCGAATCCAAACAAACCCCAAAAAGGAGTGGAAATCCAGAAAACAGTACTGCCGTCACCTTTTTACACCAGAAATTAAACTAGAAATATCCTTGGTCTGTTTCCTAGTTTGTACATACGCGGCAAACATGGAATATATAATCAACTATGCTTTCTTATTTTATTTTATCATTTGACCACAAGACTTTATAATGCTTTCGCACCTCGTTCGTTTCACCTGAATATTATGTATATATAGCCTCCCATATCTCTTCTGTTTCTCTTCATCAATTCATTAATTTGTTTCATATCCTAAATATAGATAAACAGCTACTATATAATATGGCTTTCAAGATTACCTTGAAAGCTATTATACCAAGTTGTTTCAATGTTAAGATTGATGTACTTCCTTTTGAGGACAAGAATAATATTGTTCGAGTTTCTAAAAATAGTAATAATTGTGGTCATTCAAGGCTAGCTCTTTCAGATATAAGTGATCCTGAATCATCACTTTCTATAAGTGATCTCTCATCAAATGCTATCATTGGATCCAACCTTCATATTTTCACACATTCTGAACTCAAAGTTATGACAAGTAACTTTTCGTCCTCTAATTTTCTTGGAGAAGGTGGGTTTGGTCCTGTGCATAAGGGGTTCATTGATGATAAAATAAAGCCTGGTTTAAAAGCTCAACCTGTTGCTGTTAAACTTCTGGATTTGGAAGGTTCTCAGGGCCACTTAGAATGGCTGGTGAGCAAATATATTACTCCCTTTGTTTTAATTTATGTATTTTACTTTCCTTTTTAATCTCTTTAAAAAAAGAATGTCTCTTTCTATATTTACTACTCCCTCCGTTCATCTTTACTTGTGCACTATACTAAAAATATATTTTCACTTTTACTTGTTAATTTTAGCAACAAGAGAAGAACATATTTTTTTCCTGTTTTACCCTAATTATATTTAATTACTCATTTTTTAAATTATTTCAGAAGACTTCTCAAAATACTATCATTATTATGGGTACTATAGTAAAATATGCACTTCATCTATTATTTTTTAAAGGGGCGTGCAAGGTCCACTGTGGACAAGTAAAAATGAACGGAGAAAGTAACTTTTAACTCTAACATTTCACATGATATGTTTAAGACCATAAAATTCAAGGGATTTTGGTATTACACACATTTTTAGTTGTAAAACACAAGATTCAAAAGTCTTTCTTACTTTTTTTTTAAACTCTCTACTTACTCAAACTAAGAGAATGAAACGCATGAAGTATAAAACTTTTTTTGGTCATTTTGAGCACTGAAATATTGTCTCTTTTCTACTAAGTTCTTTCCAATAACTAATACTAGTTTCATACTTGTTGTGTTTTCAGACTGAAGTAGTGTTACTTGGGCAATTGAGGCATCCTAATCTAGTGAAATTGATTGGATATTGCTGGGAGGATGAGCAAAGGCTTCTTGTTTACGAGTACATGGCAAGGGGAAATCTGGAGAACCAATTATTTAGAAGTATGTATCTCATATTCTTATAGTAGTAGAATATCAACAATTTTGTGAATAATTTATTCTTCATTTAAAAGCTTTTACTTTCTTTCTTCCAAAAAGCAAAATAAAATAAAATAAAATAATCATGTTCTACCTGCTAATACTTATATATATATGTATGGACATTTCACCAGTAGTTGAGGAAACAAAATTTTTGGCTCCTTTTAAGCTAAACATCTTTTTTTTAAAGAATTAACCTAAATAGCCGCCAACGTAACCGGTTAAACTGAAATTAGTGTATAAACAGTGTCGGCTGATGTATATATGCATATAATTCATGTATAATATGTAGTGTATAACCGTGTATAAATAGTATGTAGTTAATCTATGTATACTGGTTAGGAAAAGTAAACAGTAAATCCGACTGCATATTTATGTAGAAACCTCATTTTTTTTTAATGACTGACTGCAGGATGTTCGAGTAGCTTGCCATGGCTGACCAGAATGAAGATTGCAGTAGACGCAGCAAAGGGGCTAGCTTTCTTGCATGGGGAGGAAAAGCCAGTAATCTACAGAGATTTTAAGGCTTCTAACATCCTCTTAGACTCGGTAATAATCTATCATCGTTAGAATTTACTCTCTATTTTAACATCTTTTTTAGATCATGGTATTATAAGAGACTATAAAATTAAGACTTGAATTATATATCAGGATTATACGGCTAAACTTTCTGACTTTGGACTAGCAAAGGATGGTCCAGAAGGCAGTGATACACATGTCACAACTCGTGTTATGGGCACTTATGGCTATGCTGCTCCTGAGTATATGATGACAGGTAAATTTATTCATACTTGGGTCTATATAAATGTCTTTTACAATAGTGACGGACTTAGTTTTAAGTCATATGTGCTCATTTATTTTTTAATTTAAAGTTGCTGCTAATTACCAAAGATTACTCCGATTAATTTATTTTTATGTTATGATACTAGTTTCAATATAAAAATGTAATGCATGGATAAAAACAGTAGTTTGATCGAACAACCAGCTATGTAGGTTCGCCATTATTAAAGTTTTTGTACACCCTTCAAAGTTTAATTATAAGATCATATTTTATCAAAAATATACTCCATCTCTCTTCTAAATGTCTTAATTGATTAATATTTGCACTAGTTTGAGTAGTAAGGGTGAATTTGAAAGGGGGAAAAACGGTAATAGATACCTCTTGTTTTTCTATGAAATTCTAAAATTTTGAAACCAATTTAATTTATCAAAGCGAATAATATCTGGAAATATTTGGAACTGAATGGAGTACAAAACTTTCATGAAAACGTGGGTGTGGACGTACGGGCGGAGATAGAAGTTCAGTCGAACTCAATTGCATTTTTTTAAACAGTGTATTTGTGCTAAATAATTCATTAAATATGTATATTAGAATCAAATTATTAGCACTTGAACTCGTCTTTCTAAAGTTTAGAACCCATAAAATAGAAATTCTGGTTCCGCCTCTGTGTGGACGTGACACATTATAACAACAACAATAACAATAACAAACCCAATGAGTTCCCTCAAGTGGGGTCTGGAGAGGGTAGTGTGGACACAAACTTTACCCTAGATAGAGAGGTCGTTTCTAATAGAACCTCGACTAAACAAGATGCAAAGAATTACTGGCAACATGTGGTAACAAGAAAACTAAAATGAAAAAATTCAATCAAACAATAAATAGTACCATCAATCCAAGAAAAAAGAGATATCATGCATGCTAACACTACTGAAAAAAAGAATAAACACGCGTAGCTGCCTACTAACCGTCCGACGTGACACATTATCTAACCTTTTTTTCTCTTTTTTTAACAGGTTATTTGACAACTAAGAGCGATGTGTACAGCTTCGGAGTCGTCTTATTAGAATTACTAACAGGACGACAAGCCATTGACAAGAAACGTCCTAGTAGAGAGCAAAACTTGGTAGAATGGGCAAAGCCATTCCTCAAGGATTCACACAAGCATGACAGAATAATGGACTCTAGACTTGAAGGTCAGTACTCAACTCAAGGAGCCAAAAAAGTGGCTGCATTGGCTTATCAGTGCTTAAGTCAAAAGCCTAAGTCTAGACCTACTATGACCAATGTGGTCAAGATCTTGGAACCTGTATTGGACTTAAAAGATATACCAATTGGTCCATTTGTATATGTGGTTCCTTCTTTTGACTGTAAAAGTAGTGGATTGAATAATGGTTGTTTGGAGAAAAAGAGGGGTGAAGAAAAAGAGGAAGAAAATAAGGTGAAAATAAGTGATCAAAATGACAAAGAAATTAGTGCAGGAGAAAAGAGAGAAAATGGTTGCAGGCAGCGCAGACTTGGCCACATGAAGCAAAAGAATCAACTAAAGTCTGCTACTGTTCACTCAGATACTTATCTGTTAGGACTTTAAGGCACGAATTCAGATAGTCAATGTAGGAAAAAAAAAAAAAAAAAATAGC